ATGGGAAATTCCATGGGTGTGGCAGGCCAACAAGGAAGTGATCGGATTACTTAAAGAGTTCTGTGCTGTGTATGTAAGAGAACCAATTTAGCGGAGCATGTGGGCTGGAAGACACAGGGAGACAGGGAGAGTAAGTGAGCAGCAAGAAAATTTTAATTTTTAATTCCTTGGTCTATCACAGATTGTAAAACTTTGTATTTCAGAATAACTTGAACAGCTTTTAGAAACAGAGCTAAATCCTAGACCAGAGGCAGAAGTCCTGGAATTAGAATACATAAAAGTGTATTACCACAGAACTCTGGGAGCCTTTCGATGTTTGTGTCACAAAAACTAAACTGAAAACTGGATGTGCATCACAGGCCAATAATCCCAGGATTTAGGAGGCTGAAGCAGGAAGATCACTGCAAATTTGAGGACAGCCTGAACTACACAGCAAGATCAAAACCCTGTCTCAAAATAAGAGAACTAAAAGGAGACCAGCTACTTGAGTTAAAGGTTCTTCAAAGATTTGACTGCCTCTGCCTTTAAATGCACTTTGACAACAAGTTATAGGGCAAGTATACTAGACTTAATTGAATTCATATTACTATGATAAAATCACTAACTTAGACATCTTAAAATGTGCATTTTGTTTTGTCCCAATAATACTGTGAATAATACTTCCCTTAATTGCACTTTCTTCTACACGTGTGGTAAGGCAATTATGACGAAATAAAACAGCATAGAAAAAATGTGGCAAAAGCTAACATTTCTAGGTGCTAAATGCTCAATATACAAATACAGACAAACTACAGGGCTCGTAATTACCAGGAACAAAGAAACAGGTTTTTATACCTAATGGTCACTCAGTGCCTAAGTGGTGTTTTTCTAATGTTCATGTACAGCAGGGAATCAAATGCTAGTGACCCTGTGGTAGGTACAGTCAACACTAATGAGCCAACTAAGCCAAAGGAACTGTTACTAGAATTTCAATGTAGGCTCTACCACTTGATATGTTAGCTTGCTCAGTCTACTGTTACGAAATGCTACCACAAACTTGGGGGCTTAAACAGAATTTTCTTCTCATCATTCTAGAGATGGAACTGAGATCAAGGTGTCCACAGGCTGGTTTCTCCAAAGGCCTTTGAAGTAGCTTGCAGAGGGCTATGCTCCCTGGCATCCACTAAAGGCTTTCTTCTCTGTGGATGCGTGAAACTTACCTGGAGGCCCTTTTCAGGATTATAATAGTGATACTGCATATGGTCCCTACTCTGAAGGCTTCACTGTAGTGTAATCATCTCTTTAGAAAACTTTCAAATACAGATATTCTGAGGTATTAGGGCTTGGGATGTCAACTTATACATTGTGGGAGACACAATTTTAGCCCACAATACTTACTGACTATAATCCCAAGAAAATTACTAGATTTCTCCAGGTCTCCATTTCTTCAACTACAAAGTAGCGCTACTGAGAACTGAATAAGAGAATTCCTAAGAAAGGCTCAGCACATCTTCTCACCAACCACGAGCAGCAGCATCATTATAAACAAACAGAAAACAAGAAGACAGTGTCAGGACCCCTTTTCATCTCTCAAATAGGCTTTATAACTAGGCTTCTGTACACTGGAATGTGTCATTTCAAAGAACGTTACCTCATCTGTGACTGTACCATCTCTCCCTTAGGGGAGTGTGCTAGAGAAGAGACCTGGAAGTCCTGTGTGTTGAGCCCAGGCCCTATCGCTGAGCTATGCAACTCCAGCTAACTGCTTGCTTGTTTTTGTTCAAATTTTAGCACATACAGTATAAGACAGTAAGAGAAATAGTTCAAATGAATGGTGCTATAAACAGAAACTTAATTAGGAAGATATACTACTATCCTGGAATTATTTATGAATTTCATTCACACTTTCTCCTAACTTGCAAGGACAATAAGATAGTCATGCAATAATGATACCTGCTTTAACTATTACAAAAGAAAGCCAGTCCAACTTTTTGTTTTATAATTAGGATTACACATTATATTTACTCAGCACTCTTTCTATACTGCGTGTATTCAATCTTGAGTGCAATAACGCTGTTTTATTTAGTTCTCATTACAATCATTTTACAGTGGAGGATCAAGAAGCACAGTAAGATCTGCTTTTCACAAAGCTTGTCAATAACTGCTGGAACCAGAACCCTCACTGACATTTTTAGGTTGAAAACCAAGGCCACCAATGACTTCGGCCAAGCCGTAAAACCTGGTATCCTGGTTCTTCACAGCTTGTGTAAACAGTAGGTGCTCAGCATACACAGCAGGCTGATCTGGGGGGAAATCCGGACTAAGCTTCAGAATCTCTTTTAAATCCTTTCTATAGGGCAACTTTGACCACTGTGAACTCCTTCAAGGAAATGATCAGTTCCTTTTTGCCCAAGGTCAAGCAGACTGGGTGCTCACTTCAGTTCAACAAGATATTTACCAAGAACTGAAGGTCAAGTAAATGTTGTATAACCAAATCACAGAACACTCTTCCTCTAGGGATAGCAGTAAGTGTTTTGTGACTACTATGTGAAAGTAAAAGGAAGCAGCTACAAAAATCTTTCTCTAGGGCCAGGGATGTAGTCCAGCAGCACAGCGCCTGCACAACAAGTGCAAGGCCCTCAATTCGATTTTTCAACCCCCAAATTCTGATTTCATCACTGTTCACATTTGATAAGTGATTAAAGAATAACCTCTACTCTAACTATCAATTATTGGTGCAAAGAAACTGGATTTCTCAAACAACAACCTGGATTTGCCAGTCTAGTCCCATCATAGCATTCTTAGTCTTTAATATGATTCCAAGAAAGAACTGAGTCTATGTATGTGACAGGGAAATTTGCACTTCACAGATGGAATAGTTTAACTGGTGACAGAGGTCAATCTCAGTTGTAGGGGAGTTGCTGTCAGGGGCCTTTGGTCATAAGGTGATATAGTAAAAGAAATCAGGCAAAAGTTTTCTTCTTTCCTCAGGAATATACCACTGGCTATTCAAACTTAAAAAAAAAAAAAAAAAAAAAAAAAAAAA